AGAATTTATTTTTAAATGAGAAATTCATTATAAAATTAATTGATTCTTATATTAATCGTAAAATTAATATTGTGTTTAAATTTCAAATTAAAGTGTTATAAGTTATTGATATATAAACACGATTTCAACGACAATCTCAAAGAATTGAAAAGTTTGTTAAAGAAGAAGAAAAAATACTGTTTCGTGAGTTTGACTACTCATGCAATTGTCATAAAAGTCATGCGATTTTCAATTAAACAACAACTCGTATCTGTTTTTTAGTTAATATTAACTCATATTTAGCGTCGAAAACAAACATTTAGTGATGTTTGAAGGCCTTCGGGCCAAATGTAGTCATTTTCTACGGCCTAACTATTGAGAGGTACAGTAACTTAGTTTCCATACAAACACTCACTTCACTGTCCTATCTGTGCGTGAAATTGTCAAACTGTTTATCTTTTGAACAAAAATCATATCAATTGGTATTTTCTTTTTTTTTGTTTTGTAAGAAAAGCCAATTTCTTGTTAGATATTAATTAATTCCTCCGAAAGAGTGCTTAAGGCTATCGATTAAATGCTATGCGTTTTAATCATTGCTTTTTAATATCTTTCGTTCGTATCTTTCATACGATTTCCCAATTCAAGGCTCTGTTCGGCCGACACAACGACATAACACTTGCGATGTTAGCTCTGAAAACAATTATTCATCCGACGGTACCGTTGATGAGGACTCGCAGATCAGACTCAGGCTTAAGAGACGATTACAGCGAAACAGAACCGCTTTCTCTGACCAACAAATCAAAGCACTAGAAAACGGTAATTCAAGCTAAAACTTTTAAGATTAATTGCTTTCAATATCATCGTTAAGTTATTCAATACAAGACAAACTTATCATAAAAATGTGTTTACTTAACAGAAATACTAATTTGAGGATTTACTTTATCACATAACGTATAAAATTAGATACATTTAATAATTTGTTATTCAGTACATATATTTTAATTACTTAATAAAAATTACATCTTTTTAAAACAACTACTAAATGAGGTATTCTTGCAAAAAGCTTAAAATTAAAAATATTTAAGTTATATTTACTCAGATTAATTAAGTTATAGTAAGTTTTATAAGTGTTATATAATAAATATACAATATTAATTTATGAAGGTTGTCTATTGAATGCATTTAAATGATTATTGTATTTAGTGATACAATTAAACAAAAATTGTAAATGTCTTATAAGAGCTAATATATGATTAATGTTGAAATATATGGCAGAGTTTGAGAGGACTCATTACCCGGATGTGTTCGCTCGTGAAAAGCTGGCCGACAAGATATGTTTACCCGAACCTAGAATTCAGGTCTGGTTTTCAAATAGAAGAGCCAAATGGAGACGAGAAGAGAAACTGAGAAATACTAATCAAAAGAAAGGCCAAACGCAGACCAATTCAAGTGATAATCACACGAATAGTCAGACAAAAGGGACGAAAGCAAACACTAATAACCGCTCAAATCATACCGAAGTGAACGCAAACAACAAATCAAACTTTAATGCAATACTCGATAACAATAGAAATTTTGTTAATTATTCTTCATTAGCAACACTTTCTTCGTTAAGTAATTCAATTCAAAGCTATGGCTCGATGTCTGGCATAAGCCCTCCTCCACCGCCCCCTCAATC